TTGACATTTTATTTTAATGTTTCAATAAATAAATACAAAATTAAAAAAAGGATGCACGAGCAAGAAAGGATCACAGGAATAAAAGCAAAGGCATGTAAAAGGATTTGCAATGCTTACCTCTATGTCACTCCATACAGAGTCCTGGTTGCACATGTCCCACGCCATTCAGTCCCTGAATGACGACAGTAAACCTTTGGAAGTACAATCCACAGGCAACACGGGAGGCTTGCACTCATGCAGGCTACTAGCCCCTTACTGAGGCTCAACTGAAGGCACCTGTCTTACTACTGTTCCCAGTCACATGACCAAGCTATTAAAGTAGGCTGGTCTGCCACTCTCCCAGCCCTGCCACCGCCGCTGCTGCTGGAAGCTGCGTGACGTCACGGCGAGGCAGACCCAGCTCCTGTGAAATGAATCTTCCCAGCCGGATTTAACCTCTTCCTCGCCCGCTGCCGCATTGCTAGGTGGACACCTGGCGAAGAAGGTGGGGGTTAAGAAGGGAGGGGGTGGGGGAGAGAGTCCCCCCTTCAAGGGCGACCTGGTGGCAGCAAGGATCTCCAACGACTCCGTGTGTGTGTGTGCGTGTATGGAAGAGCTGCTCTCTAGCTGCTGCAGAATCTCTTTAGCCCGATCTCGTCCTCCACAAGTGTTGCTGTTGTTATTCACATTTATTTAGCTGATCGCAACGCGTCCTGCGGTAGTTTGCAGAGAAATTGCACCATGCCCGGTTCTCATAGCTCCCAGATGACCACGATGTATTAGCACGGACTGTCCCCCTTTGGGATCCGGATCGCTCTGTCCCTTTAGTTCACGGTTGACCCTGTTTTGTTTTTTTTTTGGAGGGGGGCTGGGGTGATGCATGGTTTTGTTTGCATTTTTATACAAATGTGCTGCTTTACTGTTAAAAGTGTTACAATCTTTCCATACAGTTGTGCAAGCAACCATTCTCAAGCCTAGGGTCTCTTCAGATGCTAGGGGTTCCTTGAGTTGTGGCTGATTGACTTCCCATCTCATTAGTTCCGGGGCCAATGGCCACTTGAAAGAGCCAATTATTTTATTTGAGTTGTCTCTAAAGGTGGTGGGGGGGCAGGGGCATTGTTCCCCCTGGTCACCAAACAATTATCATTTGGAGTCGTTTTCAAGGATGGCATTCTGATCACCACTGTAAAGGGGTATTATTCTCACTGACTACTAATTGTTTTTAGTTAGCAGGGGTTCCCCTAGACCTGAAAATCATTTCAAGGGTTCCTCTGGGTAGAAGTGCTGGTTGAGAACTGCTTTCAAGGTTCAGAAATGCTGGTCTAAATGATTGCATTTGCTGGGTGGCTGATTGGCTTACCATTTGCTTAGTTCTGGGGCCAACACCACATGAAAGAGCCAAGAATGATTTTTTTTTTAGCTGTCTCTAGGTGGCGTTCTGACTAGTTTTTACCCCAGATGAACCCTTGAAAAAATGTTCAGCTCTAGGGGAACCCCTGCTAAAAACAATTTATTGATGGCCCGTGGGAAGAAGCGCCCCCACCACCACCTTACAGTAGTGGTCAGAACGCCACCTTTAGAGACAGCTAAAGAAGATCATTGCTTCTTTCACGTGGCATGGGCCCCAGAACTAACCAAATGGAAAGTCAATCAGCCACATGACAAATGCAATCATTTAGATCGGTGTTTCTCAACCTTTTTACCCCAGAGGAACCCTGGAAATTATTTTCAGGTCTAAGGGAACCTCTGATAAAGACAATGTATTAGTAGTCAGTGAGAAGAATCCCCCCTTGTACAGTGGTGGCCAGAATGTCAGATGCTGCAGTGCCGTCCGTCCGTTTTTTTACTACGGGCGGACGGCAAGAGGTTAAAGACAACTCAAAAAGATCATTTTTTTGGTGGCCGGTGGGAAGAATGCCCCTTCTCCTGCCCTTACAGTAGTAGAAAAAGGTTGAGAAAATACTGTATTTGTTATGTGGCTGATTGACTTCCCATTTGCTTAGTTCTGAGACCAATGCCACTTGAAAGAGCCAGTAATATTTTTGAGTTGTCTTTAAGGGTGGCATTCTGACCTCCACTGTAAAAGGGGCCTTCTTCCCATTGACCTCTAGTGAATTGTTTTTAGCAGGGGGTTCCTTGAGCTGTGGCTGATTGACTTTCCAATTATTGGTGCCTGCTTAGTTCTGGGGCTATTGCCACTTCAAAGAGCCAGGGGCAAAAACGCTAGTAACCTTTTTTAGCTGTCCCAAGGGTGGCATTCTTACCACCACTGTAAGGGGACATTCTTTCTACCAGTCCCCAATGAATTGTTTTTAGCAGGGGTTCCCCTAGACCTGGAAATTATTTCCAGGGTTCCTCTGGGGTAAAAAAATTTACATGTGGGTTTAACCAATTTTTTTTTATTAATTGGTTATGGATGGATAGATAGATAGACAGAGAGATAGATAGATAGACAGAGCGATAGATATATAGACACATGCATAAGAAATGTAGCCTTTGCAATCAGGGTCGTTCCTACCTTATTTGCCCCCTGATGCAGCCAGGAGTATTGGGGAGTTGTAAGCCTGGCAGGAGGCAGTGGCTGGCCAAACTGGGGGAGTGGGGGAGCTTTTAGTCAGCCGTGCTGCTGCCAATGAGATGTTGCCTAAGGCTGCTGCCTCAGGCTGCCTTTTTATGGGGATGCCCCTGTTTGCAATAACCTGAACTCTCTCCAGGTCCAGAATATCTAACTGCAGTCAGACAATGAACTCCCCCCTTCAAGTCCATAAGGTGAGGAAATAGAGAAGCAGGTCTCAGTGCTGCAAAGATAAGGAGTGAAGGAGGTCATCACTGCCCAACGCCACTTGTCTATTATAAACCAGGAGAACAGTTTTGAGTATTATAAAAAATGTCTCCAACTTTTCACCTCCCCAAGAAGTAAGCAGTGTCCAGGTCTACATGACAGCGAGAGGGGGTAGCATCACCTACTGAGACCGCTTTTTAGTATAAATGACAGATTGTGCAGCTGCACAGAATGCACAAATGGTATGTATGCCCTGGTCCTTTTCCCTATGGAGCTTACAATCTAATTTCGCCACCACCAAGCACTCACTTGGTGATCATAGAGAGCAGACAGCCAACAGGCTGGGATGTACCTTTTCTTATTGCTTGAACCCACTAGACCTGTCTCCTTGACAAAAAATCGATGAAGTGCATATATAGTAAAAGGCTTGCTTTCTGTTTGTGGAAAAATAGGAATAATTGTCATGTGGTTGCAGGGATTTTTCTGATATGTTGGAAACCTTCTGCAGATTTCAACAGCACCTCATGTTCAAAAGCCCTTGCTAGGCATCTGTTGCTGCACAGCTTGGTTATCACAAGCAAAGCTAGAGTCAATATAGAGATGGCCATATAGAGATTTATATGGCCATGTGTAGCAGTAATAGGCACAGTTTGGGGTATTGCTTCATAGGGATTCCCAATAACCCTATTGCCTGACTGAAAATTGCCCCTGTACCACAGCAACTAATCATGACCATTGTAGCAAGCATAGTTCAATCTGACATACTACAAAATGTGAGCTGCAGGAATATTCATGGCCACAGACGGTCTCACAATGGTGAACTGCCAGGGGTGATGATGAGTTATGCTTATGGTTACATGCAGGAAAGGAGAAGCGACTGTCAGTCACACAGTAACGCAGTCTATGAATTACACACATAGCAAAGTCCTTAAATAGCAGTCTAGTAAGCTACCAGCATCTTTGTGGTCTAAAGGAACACACATGGGGAGAATGAACAAACACCAAGCAGATAGTGTCCTAGTAGGGTTTGTTCCAGGTCTGTAGGATTGCAAACAGCAATATTACACTGTGCACTTCTATTAATGTGTACTCAGACTGGTGTCCAGTACCCCATGATATTTGTTCAGTGACCCTTCTTTGGCCCAAGCGCTCTTCCAGCTAATAGCCATAGCCCAAACATCGCATGCCCATTAAACATGGAAGCGTGAATGGAGCCACTTTGACACACAGAGTTCAGAAAGGACTTGTCTGGCGTCAGAAACCCGCACTCAGTGCCCCCTAAAAAAACCCATCTAAACAGGGCCGTAGATTCTGCACAGCATTTGACCGGCTATTGGCTATTAAGGGCTGATGTCACAGCAGCCAACCGTTTATGTGATCACCCAGGCGACTGAGTCTCCAAACGCACACAATTGATTAAAAGCAGATTTGAATACAACTCCCCGGTTCCCCTCCCTTCTCCATCTCCTAGTTGTGACATATAATGACTGAAATCCCTAAAATCTTGTTTTAATTAATTAATAATTGTATTATTATTTTGTCAAGATACGGCACACAGCAGCGTATACACTAGAACTGCAGCATGTGAGCCGTGTTTACTGTAAACATGAAGGAAGTCCCAGGCAAGCTTCTTTAGCTTCATTTACAAAATATTGCGTTAAGCAAACATATACACAATTACAGATCGGGAAGACACTGCTAACTGTTTCAGTGCTGGGAGGGAAGATAATACACTCATAAAAATGAGATGAAGGAAGTGGTTTATTTCTAGACTAGTTACGATGTGTTCTCTGCAGCCAATTGGTTTCAGTGGAATTTGTATTTTTTTTGTCATGTTTCACAGATTCCAGGGGTAAGGCATGCTTCCCAGCCATTAGTGCCATCTGTGCTTGGCATGATTTCCTAAATAATAGCAAAATGTGCTAAGAAGAGAGAAGAGAGAGCTGCCTAATACAATATAGCAGCAATTCACAACTAGGGTTTCTTCCGAGGTTGCTCGGGGCTGCTTGAGCTGCGTTTAACTGAGCTTCCATCTGATGGTGCCTGTATAGTTCTTGACCCAGTGCCACTTGGCAAAGCCAGCAGCTGGACACCAAATGCTCTTTTTTGATGTCTTTAAAGGTGGCATTCTGACCACTACTGTAAGGGGAGCAATCTTCCCACTGGCCAGCAATGTAAAGAGCATTCTTTCGACTGGTTACCAATGTAAGGGGCATTCTTCCCACTGGTCACCTCTGTGTGGAACATTCTTCCCACTGGTCATCAATGTAAGGGCTATTCTTCCTACTGGTCACCAATGTAAGGAAAATTCTTCCACTGACCACCAATGTAAGGAACATTCTTCCCACTGGTCACCAATGCAAGGGGCATTCTTTCCAATGGTCACCAATGTAAGGAACATTCTTCCCACTGGTCATCAATGTATGGAAAATTCTTTCACTGACCACCAATGTAAGGAACATTCTTCCCAATGACCAACAAAGTAAGAGGCATTCTTCCCACTGACCCCAATGAATAATTTAAGCAGGGGTTCCCTGAGACCTGAAAATTATTTCAAGAGCTCCTTTGGGGTAAATAGGTTGAGAAAGACTGCAATAGACTCATAGG